AATGCCATAAAGTCTACAATCGAATAACTGGAGCAGGTTATATTAATCGAACGTCTACCCGAGAGAAAGGTATACCTGGGAACGGGGTTGACCCCCGAACTCAGGAAAAAACTTATTCAATTTCTTATTAATAACATAGATTATTTTTCTTGGTCCCATTTAGACATGACAGCGATCCCACCATCGATAACAACGCACCAGCTAAGTTTGAATCCTAGGTTCAAACCGGTGAGGCAAAAAAGAAGACCTCAATCCGAGGTAAAACACGTATTTGTAAGAGATGAGGTAACTAAACTTCTCAAAATAGGGTCAATTCGGGAAGTAAAATATCCCGAATGGTTAGCCAATGTGGTTGTAGTCCACAAAAAAGAGAACAAACTTAGAATGTGTGTAGATTATAAAGATCTAAACAAAGCATGCCCCAAAGATTCTTTTCCACTACCTAGCATCGATCGCTTGATCGATGCCACAACCGGCCACGAGATCCTCACTTTTCTTGATGCATATTCTGGGTACAATCAAATTAGCATGAACCCAGAGGACCAAGAAAAAACTTCATTTGTCACTAAGTATGGAACCTATTGCTATAATGTAATGCCATTCGGGTTAAAAATCGCAGGGGCTACATACCAACGCCTAGTGAATAAAATGTTCGAAGAACAAATAGGTAAATCGATGGAAGTTTACATTGATGACATGCTAGTTAAGTCCATGCGCGCAAAGGACCATTTGACTCATTTGCAGGAAATGTTCAAAGTTTTAAAGAAATATAACATGAAGCTCAACCCTGAGAAATGTGCTTTTGGGGTTGGATCGGGCAAGTTCCTCGGGTTCATGGTGTCGGACCGGGGGATCGAGATCAACCCCGACAAAATCAAAGCCATCAAAGACATCACCGTCGTGGATAGTGTGAAAGTAGTGCAAAGGCTAACCGGACGGATAGCTGCCTTAGGCCGATTCATTTCAAGGTTGTCAAATCGAAGTCACAAATTCTTCTCTCTACTCAAAAAGAAGAACGATTTCACCTGGACCCAGAATGCCAACAAGCACTTGAACAACTAAAGTAGTACCTATCGAGCCCACCATTACTTCACACTCCGAAGGCAGATGAGAAGCTTTACTTATACTTAGTAGTATCGGAAATCGCAGTAAGTGGTGTCCTAGTTCGAGAAGAGCAAGGTACGCAGTTTCCTGTTTATTATGTAAGTCGGACCTTAGGAGAGGCAGAGACTAGATACCCACACTTAGAGAAATTAGCGCTTGCATTGATAAGTGCCTCTAGAAAGTTAAGACTATACTTTCAATGTCACCCCGTATGCGTTTTAACAACTTGCCCACTTCGAAACATTTTGCATAACCCCGAACTATCGGGACGACTGGCCAAATGGGCCGTCGAACTCAGTAGGTACGATATTGAATATCAACCTCGAATGGCCATCAAGTCTCAAATTTTAGCAGACTTCGTGGCCGATTTCGCGCCAAACCTCGCACCCGAAGTTGAAAGGGAACTCTTGTTAAAATCAGGTGCATCGTCGGGGGTTTTGACCCTCTACACAGATGGTGCTTCAAATGTGAAGGGATCCGGGCTTGGCATCATATTAAAACCTCCCACAGGTGGCATTATTAGGCAATCCATCAAAACTACTAGATTAACTAACAATGAGGCCGAGTACGAGGCCATGATTGCAGGTCTCGAGCTAGCTAAGAGCTTAGGAGCAGAAGTCTTTGAAGTCAAATGTGACTCTTTGCTAGTGGTGAACCAAGTGAACAAAACTTTCGAAGTTCGAGAAGATAGGATGCAGAGGTATTTGGACAAACTACAGGTTACTCTACACCGTTTCAAGGAATGGACCCTACAACATGTGCCTCGAGAACAAAACAGTGAGGTCATACTCTAACAGAATGAGGCTCACCTGCTTATCTAATTCGGCCTCTTCTTTACGAGCCTTAGCCAAATCTGCTTGGAGGCCCCTTATAACCTCATCCTTTTAGCCGCAAAGAAGCCGCAGAGAATCTCTCTTCTCCGAGACCTTCTGAAGCTCGACCTCACACTGGCTGAGGTCGGCTCGAAACTTACTAATGGCCTACGCAGAAGGGAAAAAACACAAGTCAGGTTTAGAAAAGAACGAAGAAACCAAGCGTAGTAAAATCATTACCCGAGAAATAAAACGTTAGGCCTCTTCTAGGAGAAGAGAAGCGTCACTAATATCGGAGGCATCACCAACTCCAGTAAAGCAATCCCGAAAAGGATCTTCTACACTAGAGCCTCCGCCTATATCGGGGGTCATCAATTCTTGAGCTTCCTTTAACGCCTCCTCAGAAAAGGTCGGAAGAGAAGGAAAATGACTCACTATCATGATCCCGAGCGAATCGCTCGAGACACTCTGATCGAGACTCGGGTTATCGGAACCGGCCCCGACCGGTGTAGCCGTCATCGGCTCAGAAGGTCTGGCGACCTCGATAGCTTTTGCGGATCGGATCACCAAAGCCAAAGCATATTCTTCTTCTTTTTCTTCTTCTTCTTCTTCTTCTTCTTCTTCTCTCAGTCGTTGGACCGAGTCCGTCGAAAGAGCGATTGCCTTACTCCTCACCCTTCGAGTTTTGGACTTGAGGTCCTTTGACCGAGAGACAGCTTTTCGCTTTTTTATCTTTCCCCGATTTTGAGACCGGGGACTTGGGTCCTTCCTCACCACTCGAAGGCCTCAAAACAGCATCCTTGGTTACGCCTGCATGAAAGGAAGTCAGTAATGAATGAAGCATAAAGAACGTTTTGAAAAACATGAGAAGTGACCCTTACCGTGATTCTTGGCCTCCAACCTACCTTTCGCCAAATCACGCCAAGCCCGCTCGGCATAAGAGAAAGTCGAGGCTAACTTCCGAACCCAATCCTCGAGGTCGAGTACCGTTTGTGGCATCCAAGGTGCAGCTGTATATCGGAGGGAGATATAAGATAGAATCAGAGAAAGATACGAAAAGCAACGCCTTATGAAAATCACTTACAATCGAAATTTCATTCCTCGGGGAACAACATCTTCTCTTCCGGGATAAGGTCACGGGTCCTCACCCGAATATAACGGCCCATCCAACCCCGATCCTTGTTTACGTCGATGCTCGACATTAAAGCTTTCGTTGCCCGACGATGAAGCCTGATTAGTCCTCGAAAGATTTGAGGCCGATACAATTGTATGAGGTGATTTAGGGTAAAATCCAGCCCCCCGACCTTGTTGAAGAAGAAGCGATGTAAGATTACTATGCACCATAGAGAAGGATGAATCTGACCGAGGGTGAGCTGATATCTTTTGCAAAAATCAATGATCACTGGGTCGCCGGGACCCAACGTGAAGGGGTAAGTATAAACACTTAACCCCCCCCCCCCCCC